GAAGCATTCACAGTAAGGTCTTTAACTGTTCACGAGTGTATCAGTCCCATTTATTTGAAACAAATTAATAAATCTTTTTTGAAAATAAGTTAAAATAATTGTTTCCAGGATAGATTATTGCTAAAATGTCTTCCTAGAAAAAGAGACATCTCCACCTTTAAAAATGATCAGCACTGGAATTCCTATATAGTAACTTTACAAGGGGTTATGGTGACAATAGCAAGTTATTAAAACATATAATCTGAAGAGTGTTCTATTCTAATGTGTTCTGGTTTTGTGGGGCTAAGCGTTTGATTAGTCAATGGTATTGGTTGTTATTCATAGCAATAAATGCTCACATATAATACATGCAAATAGAGTTGGTTGGAAAATTTCAAACAAAACATTTTCCCATTGGAAAATATGATTTTGTGTAAATTTCCTAGGAGAAAATATAGATTTTGGTGTATTTTCCATCAAGAAAATAAAAATGAAATGTTTCATTTTGAATGGGGTTGACATTGCTCTCTGCATCTGCCTGAGCCACCATGATGTCTCATGGGCATTGTAGTTCCGGCTTCTCCACAACCCCATTCTCTCCTATGGGCCCTAAACTGCATCTGACAGTCTCTCTATGTGGCTGACCTGCCACAGTGCCTCATAGAAGCTGTAGCCCGGCCAGTTTTGTTCCATAAAAAGTTTTGATATTTTGATTTTTTATCCCAACTTGGGATAAAAACAAATATTGAAATATTGGTATTTCCTGCAGGACAGAAGTTCTGGTTTTTTATCAGCTCTGCATACAACTGCTTCATCTAGTGATCTATTCACTTTCAATCTGGTTTTGTATTAATATTATTTCTAATTATTTAGTATTTGATTGAATCTACATATTAGATACTCAATAGTTTTGAGACCAGAATATTGATGAGGATGGCGAAAGAATAAGCAGCTTGACTCTCAGATCCCACTTGCAGAGCTAGCAACTGGGAAAAAAAATCTGTACACTGAGTGCATTAGATCTAGACATTAGAGAGGGACAATGAACACGGAAGGGTAGAGAATCTCTTTTCTAACCATAACTGCTTTCTGAGCTAGAAGATAAGGCCTGAGGTTCTAGCAGTCAGAAGTCTCATTAGGTGGAAGGTGAGAACAGGGTTGCCACCCAACCCAAATTTTCCAGGCTTGCTTCTGGCTTTGTGGGTCCTTCTTCTGGCCTGCAAAACCAGTTAACAAACAGCCTGAATGTCCAGGCATAATCACGACCCCACCTGACAAGGTCACCAAGTTGCCATGCAATGAAGACTGACTCTCTTTTGTCCATTAGGAGCCTTTCCCAAAGATGACAGTCCTAGCCATCAGAGTAACTTCATCCTTCCTACATAAATTCTCCCTGAGGTTTCAATAGGGTATAATTTACTTCTTCACTTCCTGTCCTAAACTACTGAGTAGTGTTACTGCGCATTAATACACTGACATGTTCCTCTCCAGAAGTGGCCATTTAATAGCAGGGCCCAAAATGATCCCTGTAGCTCTAGAGTTCATAAAGCACTTTGGGATTTTGTCAGGATGAAAAGGGCCATATTTACTTCCAGTTACAGTCTCTGACTGTGTCATGTGACAGTGGGGAGCGTTTGCATTTCCTTGCTCCCAGCTTCAGGGTCTCTGCAGACACAGTCACCGCCCACGGCTCTCAAGGGGAGCCCTGCTCTTTGGCTCCAGAGTGTGTTCTGCTACACCAGTCTCTCTCTGCTGTCTAGCTCTTCCCTCGCTCTGGGGAGCAGCGGGACTGGCACCTCGGGGCCGGGACTGAGCACCCAGGGCAGCAGGACCCTCATTGGTTCTTCATTAAGCAGGCTATTTTGCTTCCCTTGGGTGTTTCCAGAGGCCCATCTCACGGATTATGACTGCATCCAGGAGGCCCCATGCACACAGTCCTTACCTCTGTAGCCAGTGTAAGCTATGCATTCACCAGGTAATCTACCTGACCCTGCAGGGCTACTGAGCGCTATCCTGGCTTCTCTAGCTTCGGGTGAGGGCCTGTCTCCTTAAAAGCCTCTTTACAAACTGCAGTCACCTCTGTCCACAGTCTGAATCTGACCCTATTGCCAATGCTGAGATCAGCACCCCGCAGTTGTGGCTAACACTGCTTGGCTCTAGCTTGAGCCCTGGGGCTATCACAGACTTGCCTCCAACATCCTTCCTCCTTACATTTCCTACATGGGCTTCCAGACCCAGCAGACCGCAGCGGCTCAGTGTTCTGCTATGCCACATCTGTAGGGCCCTACCAAATTCACAGCCATGAAAAAAACGCATCATGGACCATGAAGTCTGGTCTCCTCCCATGAAATCAGGTCTTTTGTGGGCTATTACCCTATACTATACAGATTTCACAGGGAGGACCAGCATTTCTCAAATTGGAGGTCCTGACCCAAAAGGGAGTTGCAGGGGGGCTACAAGGTTATTTTAGGGGGGTTGCAGTATTGCCATCCTTACTTCTGCGCTGCCTTCAGAGCTGGGTGGCTGGAGAGTGGTGGCTGCTGACTGAGGGCCCAGCTCTGCAAGCAGCAGCGCAGAAGTAAGGGTGGCAATACCATACCATGCCATCCTTACTTCTGCGCTGCTGCTGGCGAGGGCTCTGCCTTCAGAGCTGGGATCCCAGCCAGCAGCCCCGGATCTCTGGCTGCCCAGCTCTGAAGGCAGCGCCATCGCCAGCATCAGCACAGAAGTAAGGGTAGCAGAACCGTCACCCCCCTACAATAACCTTGCGACCACCCCACAGCTCCCGTTTGGTTCAGGACCCCTACAATTATAACACCATGAAATTTCAGATTTAAATAGCTGAAATAATGAAATTTATTATTTTTAAATTCCTATGGCTGTGAAATTGACCAAAATGGACCGTGCATTTGGTAGGGCCCTACTCATCTGCCACATTTCTGCCCAGAGAACCCCAGGCTCCTAAGAGGGATTTTAATGGGGCTTCCCTGTTCCGCAGGGGATCTCCTTTACTGGTTCTTGCTCCAGCTCCCTTGCTGGGTGATTTCCATTTCCGTAGGTTCACTGTGTTGCTTGCCCCTTGTGTTCCAGGGATGAAGCGATTATTCAGCAGTACCTTACTCTGGGTGTAGCCCATGTGTGGGGTAAGGCACTATGTAACATGAGTAAGGATGGCGGAATGTGGCCCTTTGGCAACAGCATGCCCACGTGCGTGTTGCATCCCTGTTTGCGATGAAATGCTCATCAGACACCACGGTTATCTGCTTCCTCTGCATGGCAAATGATTTATAAAGGTTTTCAGCTTTGCTCCCCACTGCAGGACTGTGCTGACCTGTCTTCGCGGCTGGCTGTGTGACGGTTCATTGCTGTTCAGCATCTGGGGAGGGGGTCCTTCCACTCAGCCACCCCATGCCTCAGCAAGCTGAAAGGCTGCACTCTGGCACTTTCCTTGCCTCTTATTTCTGTGGGCTCAGAATGCGTCCACACCTGATGCCATGTGACAGTGGCAGCATCTCACAGAGAGAGTCACTTTCTTCTAGCCCTGCTCCAGAGATTTTTCTCCAGGCAGGGAAGCCGGGCTATCCCTACATTCCCTCTGTCCCCAGAGCAGAGCGTCTGGCTAGGACCTTCCTCCGGTCCCCCCGGCTTGGCTTCTTGCTACAGATTTAAAGCAGCAGAGGGGAAGTAACTTGCCCAAGGTCATCCAGCAGGCCAGTAGCACAGCTGGGAATAGACCCCAGGTTTTCCTAAGTGCTAGTTCAGTGCCCTAACCACTAGGCTACACTGCCTCCTGAAGTATGTTTGTTTGCGTTATGTTGCATGGCGGGAATTATACATACACCCATCAAAACGGGCAGCAAGCTGAAAAATATCTTATGCTGTCATGCTGTGGAGCACACACAGGCTGTAGTTTGGCAACAAGGTCTCAGCCTGCAACAGGGCCGTTGCCATGTGGCAGGATGCTAAGGATATATTAATGGGCATGCTCACCCAGAGAGGTGCCCTTGTTGCAGTGGGTTAACATGGGCGGTGCCATTTTGCTTCTAATGTCAAAGCTCTCCTTAGAAGTTGTTTATTTCTGGAGCTCGCACTAGCCGTTGGGTAGAGATGTTTGTGGTTAGGTCCATGGTGTATATGGTACATGCCAGGCCTGCCCCACAACCTTGCCCCACAGCCGCTTGGTCTCCATTAATTTGAGACAAAAATTGCTTCATTCAGTGTTTGAGTTCAAAAAGTGACTGTCTCCAAAACATACATGGAGTCAGGGCGGGGCCGGGGGCAGAGGTGGGTCGAGCACCCACCGGCACGAGTAGAAGTCGGCGCCTATGGATGTAGTGTGGGTACGCTAGCGTTAACCTAGCACAGGTACCAACAGCAGTGACGACGTGGTGGCCCAGGCTAGTCCTTGGGCTAGCGCCTGAGTACAAGCCAACTGTGGACCTTGGGTATGGAGTGGTAGTTGTTACCCATTCTAGCTATATTGACCCCAGCACAGAAATGCCTACCCATGCTGCAACCAAGCCTTCACTTGCAGTGACGATGTACCCGGAGACTACAGTGTCCATTTTATGAAGATGTTTATTTGAGGATGCCATGAATGTGTGGCCTGCTGCACAAAGCCAGCCACTGCAAAATAATAAAGACAACTATGTATATAACTAGCACTGGCTAGTGCACAGGGACACTGGGCGAAAGGCTGTGGCTAGTGAATGGTGGGACTGGGC